CAAGACACTCCGATCTTACCTACATCTTCAACGCGCAACGTACGATTCTGCATTCTGTATTTCTCCGATTTTCCGTAGCCTACCTTGAGAACCCGTCACGTTGCCATAGCCCAACGAAATTTCTGTATCTCGGAGCACGAAAGAAAAGAGTCCCTGTGGCATCCCCATACCGTAAGCCGAAGTACTGCGCGAGAGTACGAAGGTTGTGCGCATGCGCGTCGGGTAACAGTCGCCAACGGTCATATTCAAACGCGAAGCACCGGAAAATGAAAAAATGTGAATTGACAAAAGACAGCGGCGAGCCGCGTGTCGGGCATAAATATGAATTCCCGGTCGTTCCTGGAGTATCCATTGGTGTGTGGCGCGCGAGTAATGAAGTGGCGCGCGTGGGCATTTCCTTATTTAGAAGCAGAGAAATCTCAGTACGTTTCACCATTCGTACCGCGCAGCGAGGACCGCGCGCGTGGAAGCGTCGCGGCAGCGCAATGGCGGGAGATTCGAAAGGATCCCGTAGCATCGCGTACGTTCCCGCGTCAGTAGGTACCCAGCGCAGTATATCGGCTTATCTGAAAACGCTCGTTTGAAAACGTCGTCTGGTTATCGCGTGGGCTCGCGTGAACTCCCGGTAATTCGGGTCACGAGTAAGTGCGATCTTAACGACGAGCAATCACTGTCCACCGTCCTATGACGAGATATGACATCCGACGAGCAGAGCTAGACCGTACGTGCAAGCACGGATTTTACGAGTCGCCAGGGTCGACACTAGCGGACACGGGCGCGTTCGGCACAGGTCAATGACGTCGATCGAAAAATCCACGGCAGCCGGTACGTGCCCGGAAATCGAACGTAGACCACCGGGAACATCCTTGGGGTCCTTGGCTGCGCGCACAGTCCCTCACGAAGAAATTGATGCAGGCCGTAGGTGCACTGGGTGAGGAGCAACCGGTTTCTCAAGATTTTCCACCGGACGGAGCCCCCCCGGTCGTTTCTCGAAAATCTACAACTAGGAACACCGGAGCCTTTTAACGCTTCGCGTATTACACGTACCACTTATGCAGCGATCGTACTTGCATAATGCACTTGCGAGTGGACAATGGATACACGCATATACGTAACGCACTGTTATAACTCCTCGAGCCCCCCCCCCCCCCCCCCCCCCCC